GGCTGGCGCGCGCGCGGCCAGCAGGCAGCGCACGACCTCCGCGTGGCCGGCGTGGCTCGCGGCCATCAGCGGCGTCAGGCCGTCCTCGTCCGCCGCGCCCAGGTCGGCGCGCGCGCCCAGCAGCTCGCCCACCACCTCGGCGTCCCCCGAGAACGCGGCCGCCCAGGCGAGCGCCGAGGCCCCGCGCCCGTCGCGCTCGTTCGCCTCCGCCCCCGCGCCCAGCAGCGCCCTCACTGCCGCGGCGGCGCCGCCCTGCCCGGCCGCCAGCAGCAGCGCTGTCTGCCCGTACTCGTTCGGCGTGCCGAGGTCGGCTCTGGCGCGGACCTCGGCTGCGTGCAACACTGAAGTGGCCCCCGGCAAGGGTGCCCCTTGCAGGTGCGCGGCCTTCGGGGGGCGCCGCGCGGGGCGGCGAGGCCACGCCCCCGAGCGCGCAAGCCGCTGCTGCCGCACCGCAGGCGGCCATCTGGGGGGACCCGTGTGCCCGCACCGGGCCCGCCGACCCTTCGGCGTGTAAGAGACGCTGTCGTCGTCTTCGTCGTCGTCGTCGTCTTCGTCTTCGTCTTCGTCTTCGTCTTCGTCTTCGTCTTCGTCATCGTCGTCGTCGTCGTGCTCGTCGTTGTCGCCAGTCCAAAGAGAACGAGGAACGAACAGAGAAAAGAAACGTTGTAGTCAAGTCGGTTCCCTCCCCTTTTGCCCCTCCCTGACGGGGGGGGGGGTACGGGGTTAATGGTGGGGGTCGGGGGTGGGCGGGGAGCTACAAGAGGGGTCCTGGGTCTGTTTCCCGCCCCCCCTCCTCCCTCTGTCAATGAAAGCTGTGCGCGGCCCGCTCAGCTTCGAGGCTCGCTCTCGACCTGCGGATCAAAAAGTTTGCCGCCCCCCCCAGTTCCTGGCAGGTCCCGGGGGGCTCCACCCGTGGACTGGGGGACGGAGGGGACGACCCCCTCCGGGGGGTTCGCCAGCGAAGGTTCTGAGGCAGGTCCCGCCTGTGGCTGGCCATCGCTCTGACGTCCGTTCCCCGTGTTTTTTTTTGGTTTCGTGCGTGTTTTTTTCGCCAAGTGATCAAGAATGCTCCTCGCCGAGGAAAAAACGCACACGTCCGAGCGATGCCGAGGTGGTGGGGGATGGGGGTCCTGGGTCAGAATGCCCCCCCCCCGGGGTCCTGGAGGGCCGGGAACCTGGGGGAGGTCCCGCCTTCAGGGTCGGCGGCACCGGCTGTGAGGCCTCCACAAGATGGGGACCAAACCAGTGCCATCGTGAAACCTAAGCTTTCGGAGGTCCACGCGGATTTCTCGGATCTGCACTCGACCTCCCCGGGGCTCCAGCGCCGCAATCTGAGAAATCCGCGCGGACCTCCGACAGAAGATACGTTCATATCAGATGCTAGTCCCCGGCCAGAAGGTCACTCAGGCGAAAGGTCACTCCCCAAACATCCGACTGCTCAATTTTTTCGATGCGTGGGCCACAGAGGCCCGGACCACTTCCCTTGGGCCGGTTTTTCGCCCCGAATCTTTTTTGGCGCTCCCGAGGCCCGGCGAGGGCCCCCAGACGCCGAAAACGAAAACGCCCAAGAACCGCCCGCTCCAGTTTTTGGTTGGGAGCGTCGGATCTCTGGGTCTCTACGCTCAGCCGACGACCAGCTCCTCCACCGCCCGCGCCAGCGCCTCTGCCTGGCCGCCGCCCTCGCGGCACAGGGCGCGCATGACTGCCTCGGCCGCCGGCAGCTCGGCGGCGCCCGGGCGCCCGCCGCCGCGGGCCTGGCACACGGCGCCGCTGGCCCGCGGCGACGCCCGCTGCCGCCGCCGCGCGGGCCACGGCTGCTGCGCGGTGGCCGCCGGCGAGCGCGACCGGGAGCGCGGGCCGTCCGTGGAGCAGGGGCCGACCGTCCCGGCATCCCTATAGTGTCCTACCACGATCATGTTCTTAGAACCCCATGATGTTCTAAGAGCAAAAACAAGGTTCTTAGAACAGGAGCCCGATGTGATGAAGCAAGACAGTCCCAGCCAGAAATGTTTTCAGGACATTTCGTGGAAGCCACAAGAGGCTTTTAGAGCATTGTTTGGTAGGGCTATACAGGGCATTTTTCAATACATGGGGTAAAAAGCATAGGATTTTGAATACATGATCGATTTGTGAATCAATTTGTGCATGCACTCATCGTTGTTTTTAGTACTGAATCCCTGCATTTGTAATACATGATCCGCACGCGGAGCATGCATTAAAAACGGCACTGCAGGCACGCTGCGGGACGCTTCGCCTCTGCTGGAGTCCGCGCGCATGCTGGCCGGCTCCGGGGCTTGGCGGCCATGTGGCCGGCGCGCCCGTGGGGGGCTCCCGCGCGGGCGCTCTCCGCGGGGGCGGGCGGCCTCGGGGCAAGAGGGTCGGCGGGCAGGAGGCAGGCGGGAGCACGGAGGGAAGGGGGGAGGGGGAGGGGGAGGAGGAGGAGGAGGAGGAGGAGGAGGAGGAGGAGGAGGAGGAGGAGGAGGAGGAGGAGGAGGAGGAGGCGGGGGAGGGAGGAGGCGGGGGAGGAGGAGGAGGAGGAGGAGGAGGAGGAGGAGGAGGAGGAGGAGAAGGAGGAGGAGGAGGAGGAGGAGAAGGAGGAGGGGGAGGAGGAGGAGGAGGAGGGACAAACGGAGGCGGTGGAGGAGGAGGAGGAGGAGGAGGAGAGGAGGAGGAGGAGGAGGAGGGTGGAGGGGGGAGGAGGAGGAGCAGAAGGAGGAGGAGGAGGAGGATGAGGAGGAGGAGGAGGAGGAGGAGGAGGGGGAGGAGGAGAAGGAGGAGCAGGAGGAGGAGGAGGAGCAGGAGGAGCAGGGGGTGGAGGGGGAGGAGGAGGAGGAGAATGAAACATGGGAGCGCGTTCGTCCTGGGTCTGCTCCTCGAGGGCGACTGGGCCGTCTCTCAGTCAAGGCATCGGGGTACATGATGTTGCGCCGTGCATGGGCGAAGCTAGGCAGTGCATTCAGATGCGGTGGCCTGGCGGCCATTCTCCATGGGGCTCGAGTTCGTGGCGTGCGACAACGTCATGGTCATGGTGTTCTGTGCTGCGCAGCCTGCCCTCTTGGGTCAGGTCACTGGACCCACAGGTGCTGTTCACATCAACCTCGACCGCGTCAGCTGGGAGGCTGTCTCCTGGCACGAGTGGAGGACCGATCATGTCAACTTGTGATTAACAAATGATGCCCCATTCCGAGGCTGATGAATAGACCCCGCGGGTCGCGAACCATTTTTCCTGGAAAGGGCGTAGGTCCAGGGTTCCCTTTCAGAGGTTAACCCCCCAGCCTCGACTTGAAGGAGGCCAGCGGAATTGTTCTGTGACAGAGTTAACGCAGCCGAAGAGGGCTGGCGGAATTGACTTTTGAGGATGTCTCTAGCGAACCGCTTGGTTTATATACATTTGTTGAGGGTGTCTCAGGCGAACCGTTGGTTTTGCCGAGTTGGAGGATGTCTCCAGCGGGGGCCTCGTGGGGGGCCAGAATTCGGAGGATGTCTGAGGCAAAATGCTTGTTGACTCTGGCCCGGGTCGCCAAGGGGGGTAGCCAGCCGGGTGGTTCCGAGCGGGACCAACATGTTTTCACGCTTGCTCCTTTCTGGGACGAAAAAGACCCATGTGTTTTCACAATTCTTCCGCTCTGAGGCGAAACATACCCACGTGCTTTCACGCTTGTTCCGCTCTGGCGCGAGAAGGACCCACGTGTTTCCACGCCTGGTCCGCTCTGGGGCGAACACGACCAACGTGTTTTTACGTTTGTTCCGCCCTGGGGCGCAAGGGACCCACGTGCTTTCACGCTTGCTCCGCTCTGGGTCGAAAGCGACCCACGTGTTTTCACGCTTACTCCTGGTCGCCCAGGCGGATCTCTAACATGAGGGTGTGTTGAGGATGTCTCGAGCGAAACTGTGGTTTTCACGTGTCATGGTCGTCCAGGCGAATCGCTAACATGAGAATGTGTTGGGGATGTCTAAGGCAAAACGCTCTCTATGCAGGATGTGTTGACGATGTCTCGAGCGATGGCCTCTCCTGCAGCCAAAGCGTCCCTCTGCAGGATGTGTTGAAGCTGCTTCTCGCGAAGCTCTGGTTTTGCATTGTTTGAGGAGGTGCTGCGCGGGGCCTTGTCGTGGTCTGGCTGCGTTTCGTTTCGGTTCGGATTTGTCCTCAGATCGGTTCGTCCCACTTCGGAACTGAGTCGGATCTTGACGCCCCACACGTTTGGACTGCAGCCAGCTTTGGGCGAACCATGCGCGCAGGCAGCTTGAGCTTAAGATCCAGATCAGTTCGGACAGGATTGGGGTGTCAAAGATTGCTTGATCCACAGCGCAACACAGAACAACACAGTTCAACACATCATCACGCAACACAGTGCAACACAGCACGTATTATTTTACGGCAAATCGCTACCCTGGTTATCTGCGAGGGGCCCTGGCCTGGCACCTCGGAGTGCGGCTCCCTCGCCAGGGGACGCCATGTAGTTTCAGGATGGTCAATTTGTCTTGTCTCGCTTCGAGTGGGGTCGGTCTGGCCTTCGTATCGTGTCGGTTCGTCTTGAAGCAATTCGTCGCGTCTTGGTTCACCGTGCTTCGGTCCGTCCATTCTCGGTGCTTTTCGCGTCGGTTCGGAATCGCCTCCCCATCTTGGCTCGTCCCGTTACGGAACTGAATCAGATCTTGAACTCGAGCTGGTCGAGCGCCCCGCGCCGTTCGACTGCACGCAGCTCGAGTTATGCGTTCAGGCAACTCGAGCTTAAGATACAGAGCAGTTCGGTCAGCATGCTGATGCCAAGGAATACCTGATCAACAATGCAATAGAGCATAGCACAGGTCAACGCGGTATGGCGCAATTCTGTTCATCGCAGCACAGCACCGCACAGCCCCGGGCACGGTACATCCCCATCGTTGTCTTAAGCATTGCAAGTGCCCGTCGCCCAAGTTTGGTGTCTTGAAACATCTCCATGCTCTACATTTCTATATCCCTTCCTGGGTTCGTGGGTCGATCACGTTTGATCACGCGCACCAGGGGGTCGTCGCGGGCGCCACCGAGGGGATCGTGTACCCCCCTTCAAGGCAACCTCAAAACGACTGCCTTCCGTATAGAGGCTGTTATGGCGATCGTATACATGTCGGCGGTGCCCCGTGGCACGACCCCCCCCCCCCCAATACTACTGAGGGGGTTCGTGCAGGCCACACCGGGTGCCGCCGACGGCTCAGAACCCCCCCCTGTCCCTTTACCGGGGGGTTTCGTGCAGGCCGCACTGGGGGGTGGCTTCGACCTGGACCCCCCCCCTGTGGGAGTGGGGGGGTGGGAGTGGGGAGTGGGGATGGGGCGGGGGTGTGGGTGGGGGTTCTCTGTGGAGGTGTGGCGTCTTGGAAACCCTTGGGGTCCAGTCGAGCCAGTCGTGCATACTGGAAGGCTTCGTGCACACGAAGGGGGCTTCGCGCTCACCGGGGGGGGTCGTGCCCGCTACGGGAGGGTTTCGTACATACTGGGGGGTTTCGTGCCGGCTCGCACCCGCGGTGCCGCCAGCTCGAAACCCCCCAATATGGAGTTCACAAGGGGGGGGGTTGCTCCGCGCCGGGCACCGCCGACATACATCCGAAGCGACGTTTTCTCCCCTCTCTCAGGATGAATTCTGACGTGCCACAGTCGTCGTCGTCCTCGTCCTCGTCGTCGTCGTCGTCGTCGTCGTCGTCGTCGTCGTCGTCGTCGTCGTCATCGTCGTCGTAAACGACAGCGGGCCTACTGGCCGATGGGGCATCCGCAGTGCGTCGTCGCCGTCGTCGTCGTCGTCGTCGTCGTCGTCGTCGTCGTCGTCGTCGTCGTCGTCGCCGTCAGCGTCATCGTCGTCGTCGTTGTCGTCGTGGGCTGCAGCAGGCCTCCGCAGCCCCCCGCCCCATGGTGGGGTATCCGTAATGCATTCGTCGTCGTCGTCGCGTTGTCGTCGTCGAGTCGTCGTCGTCGAGTCGTCGTCGTCGTCGTCGTCGTCGTCGTCGTCGTCGTCGTCGTCGTCGTCGTCTTCGTCGTGTTGTCGTGTCGTCGTCGCCGACGACGACGACGTCGACGTCGACGTCGACGTCGGCGTCGGAGTCGGCGTCTGCGTCGGCATCGGCGTCGGCGTCGGCGTCGGCGTCGGCGTCGGCGTCGTCAGCGTCGTCGTCGTCGTCTTCGACGTCACCGACAGCGGGCCTACGCAGCAACCCCGTATGGCCGATGGGGCATCCGCTGTGCGTCGTCGTTGTCGTCGTAGAACATATTTCGGGGAGACGTGAGACTCGGGTTCGGGGGACTCGGGTTGGCCTGACGACGCGACTCCACGGCCCTTCTGCTTCCTCTGCTGGCGCCGCGTGCGATCCGGCCGTTGAACGACAGAGCTTCCTCGGAGTACCTGCCGTGCGACGCACGAGCACACTCATCCGCCGCCCCCGCGGGCATTGATATTTACGTAGGAGGGTGGAGGGGTGGTGGTTGTGCTAGGAAGGCGCTGGGCAATGCGGTGGGGTGGCTCCTCAATCGGAAGGCCCCCGGGTGCTGGAGCCCCACTGCTGGGGCTGAACTTTAAAGAAAGTGCTGAAATATTTGCCAACCCCTGCAGGGTCACCAGGCGTGAGATTCCCCCCTAGTCGCGTGGCTAATTCTGGAAATCCTGAACCCAAAATTGACGTCTCATTTTTGTTGTCGCCGCCTTCTGCCGACGAGCCCGCCGCTGTTGCCTCTGCCGCATTCCGCCGGCTTTCCGCTGGCTTTCCCCGAAGGCGAAACGCGCCAAAAGGCTATCCTGGAACGCTTCCCGTAATATCCGCCAACATCGGGCCCGACAATGCGGATTTGAGGATTACGAACGCACCCTTGGGGGAGTCTCGCGAGCGGCCGTTTCCCCTCACGGCAGCTAAACAGTTAGCCCAAGAGAGCCCAGGCCGCCTGGACGGCACACGAGACCTCCAGGAGGATGGTGCAACGGTCCCTATGATAGACCCCAGGTAGCACACGAGGGAGATGCCCCGAGCCTGAGAAAAAACCAGGACTGCTAAACAATTGACCAGGCTTTGGCTTTTTGAGCTTCGTTTGGGTTCCATGCTTTTGGGCTCAAGGTGGCCTCAGGAACGTGCAGTATTGCCCCAAGACGCACAGATGACCTCCAAAGGCGGCAGGGGAGCTCTGGCGAGTAAGGAGGCTCCTGGGGGCAGCAAGGGACACAGACACGGCCTCGGGACCAACCCTTCAGCGGGTGGTCGCAGACCTGACTCGGGCTGGGCCTGGCCCTGACACTCACAGTCGATCACATCCAGAAGTCCGAAGTCGTGATTTTTTCAATACCAGGACCCCGACGGCTCGACCCATCCCCCATGACCGGCTTTTCATCCCGAGTCGTTTTTTGACAGTCCCGGGGCCCGCCGAGGGCCTCCATAGAGGCCGAAAAACGGTGAAACACCTCCGCCTTGCTCTTTTTCCCTACCTAGGCACTGCCTAGAAGGGTTCTTACTCCGAGGCTTAAAGGGCCAGGCAGTGGGGCACGCCCTGGGCGGTTCCCCCAGTATCCGCCCCGCGGTTCCCCCAGTGACGTTCCCTTAACTTCGAAAGGCTTGTTCCCCCAGTCCCCTGGGAGCTTTAGCTTTAGCTTTAGCTGTAGCATTAGCTGTAGCTTTAGCTTAGCTTTAGCTTAGCTTCAGCTTAGCGTTAGCTTAGCTTCAGCTTAGCTTCAGCTTAGCTTCAGCTTAGCTTTAGCTTAGCTCCAGCTTAGCTTCAGCTTAGCTTCAGCTTAGCTTTAGCTTAGCTTCAGCTTAGCTTCAGCTTAGCTTCAGCTTAGCTTTAGCTTAGCTTTAGCTTAGCTTTACCGTAGCTTTAGCTTTAGCTTAGGTTTAGCTTAGCTTCAGCTGAGCTTCAGCTTAGCTCTACTGCTACTACTAATGCTGCTTTCCTAGGGGCTCCAACTCCTAGGTAGGGTCGCACTGGGATAATCCATGTGTTGGATCTCTGGGGGGGGAGGTCGGAAGGCGCGCTTCTGCGCGAGCCCCCCCTGCGCACCAGCAGGCCTCCGAGCCGACGCCGCTCACAGGCCGAGCTGCTCGCAAATGCCCCTGTACTGCGGGGACCACGCGCCGTCGGCCTGCTGCACCTCCACCGCCTCCTCCGCCGGCCCCGGGCCGCCCGTGGCGGCCCCGCCCGGCGCGCCGGACGCGGCCACGAAGGCTACGCTCTTGCGGCTGCCGCGCCAGAAGATGCCCACGCGCCGCAGGATCTGGAAGCCGAACTCCCGCAGCGTCTCGGAGACCTCCGCGTCTCGCGAGGCGGTGTGGACCAGGCAGAGGCGGCCGTGGCCGGGGGCGAGCGCGGCGCGGGCCGCCGCGCAGAAGTCCCGCAGGCCGCCGCGGAGCTCGTGCCGGCAGTGCCTCTTCTGGGAGCTCCGCGGCAGGGCGCCCACGTTCGGCTGCATGTAGGGCGGGTTCGTGACCACGAGGTCGAAGCCAGTCCCCAGGGATGCCACCGTCTCTGGCTCGCGCAGGTCCCCGTGGCGGAGGTCCACGGAGTCCTCCAGGCCCCAGCGCCGCAGCGTCCTGCGGCACAGGGCCACGCTGACCTCCTGAGCCTCCAGGAGCCGGCACGAGCCCGGCGGCGGGGGGCGCGGCTGCTGCCCCAGCCACAGCAGGCCTATGGTGCCCACGCCCGAGCCCAGCTCGAGCAGCCGCCTGGCCCCGGGGCGTGCCTCCATGGCCAGGTGCGAGCACACGACGTCGTCGGCACAGTAGCGGTAGCCGTCCGCGAGCTGGTGCAGCGTCCAGCCGTGGCAGAAGCGGCTCTCGGTGACGCGCTCTCCGGCCAGCGCGTCCACCCGCTCCGCCTCCGCCGCCGAGCAGCCTCGCGCCACCGCGGCCGCCCGCGCCGCGCCCACGCGGCGCCGCGGCCGCCTGCGGGCGGCAGCGCGGCCGCCGACCGCGGCCGCCAGCGCGGCGGCGCCAGCGCGCGCCACGGCGGCCGACCGCCGATCGGTGGCGGCCGCGGCCGCGCGCCACCGCGGCCCCGCTGGCCTGCCGGCCGCCGCGCCAGCGGTGGCCGTGGCCGCTGCCGCGCCGCCCGCTTGGGCTCCGGGCGCGGCCGGGCAGCGTGCGGGCGCGGCGGCTCCGCGCGCGGCGGGGCGCAGCGGGCACAGCAGCTGCGCCCGGGCCAGCGTCGGCATTGCGGGCGCGGGCGAGGGGGGGAGGGGGGGCAGACAGATCGGAGGTCGCCAGAGGTAATCCTGGCCCGAGGTGCGCCCAGCTGTCCGCGCCATCTTGGAGCCCCACCCAGAGATCCGACGCTCCCCCAAAAAGTTGGAGCGGCGGATTCTTGGCCGTTTTCGGCTCTGGGGGCCCTCGCTGGGCCTCGGGAGCGTAAAAAATCGACTCAGGAGGGAAAACTGGCCCTGGGGAAGTGGTCAAGACCTCCAGGGCCCACGCATCAACAAAACTTGGAGCAACTGGATGTCTGGGCACAGGGGCCCCTGTTGGCCTCGTGAGTGGTGCTCTGGCACCACGCCGGGGCCTCCCTGGAAGAGCCGGGGCCACCCTGGGCCATAGCAACCTCTGGCATCACCCGGATGGAGGGTGTGGGGCTGGAAGGCAGGGAGCCGGGGGGAACTCACACCTTGAGCGGAGACGGCAGTGAGGCGCAGGAGCGGGCAGGAGAGGTGGGCGCACACGGGCGCACGGAGTCGGCGGCGGCGCGGCCTCGCAAGCGGCGGCGCTCGGAACATCGCGGCGGCGGCGCTCCTGCAGCTCCGACTTCATGTCCCACTTGGACTTAACCGGCCCGGCTGGCAGTGGCCCAGCCGCGGGCGGAGGCGCCTCGGGTGGCGCCGCCGTCTCGGCCTCGCGGGACGGCACGGTGGCGGGCGCGGCGGCGACGACGGCCCTCGGTGGCCCTCGGCCTGCGGAGTCGTCAACTCTTCGAGAGGCCTGTCGAGATGTTCCCGAAAGTCCTGGGAGGCCCTCGGGAGCTCGCGGAAGCCCCCTGTGTGTTAATTGGTGGCCCACAGATGACGACAACGACCGACCGACCGACCGGCCGACCGGCCGACCGGCCGACTCGCCGACCGACCGACCGACCGACTGACGACGACGACGACGACGACAGCGGCGGCGACGACGGCGGCGGCGACGACGACGACGACAGGCGACGGACGACGACGACGACGACGACGACGACGACGACGACGACGACGACGACGACCGACGACCGAAGACGACGACGACGACAGGCGACGACGACGACGACGACGACGACGACGACGACGACGACGACGACGACGACGACGACGACGACGACGACGACGGCGGCGGCGGCGGCGGCGGCGGCGGCCGCGCACCTTGACCCCTGTCCTCGGCAGCCCCCTCGGGGCCTCTGTCGCCCCGAGGAATTGGCTTCATCGAACAGATCGAAGCCACGCGCGAACACCACAGACGAAGTACCGCCGAGGCCATCGGATCTCGGGCAACCACCCCGCTGTGGCCTTCGACGGGCGTGCCGTGGCGGTGCCAGGCAGAATTCACGCCGTCGCTAACAGGATCCACGAGCAGGCCTCCCAACTGGAGGGGGTCCCAGACTGGGCCACGGCAGCCGCGCCGCTTTCTCACGACGCCCGCATCCGAGGGCCGCCCTCTTCCAGAGCTAGAGAAAGAGAACACGGCATCACCGCTCACTCTCGAAGGTCCGCGCAGACTTCTTGGATCGGCGCTGGACGCACTCCCCTGACGCGTGGAGCGTGCGGGGAGCGGCGCTGGAGGCGCCGCTCGGAAGGCTCCGCTGAAGGCCCATGCAGGAAACACGGGCAGACCCCCGAAAGCTCATGCTGTTCATCGTGCTGCCAGTTTCGGGGATGGACAGAACCCCCTTTAGCAAAACGTGGTTTAGTGAAAACGACCTCGGGCCAAATCTGGCGGGCGAAAGCCTGGAAACTGACGGCCACGGCGCCCTCTCGATAACCGAAAACGGACAATTCACCAATCGACGTGTCACTATTGGGGGTTCTGTCCAGCCCCGACAGTTGGAACACTGATGACGGCACGCTTGCCTGGCCACGGCGAGCCGCGGCCACGAGTACCGTTGAAGCCCATGCCGAGAAACACCCTGCTTGCCTCCGGGGTGCCCGGGGTTCCTTGGCTTTCGATGGCTCTGCGATGGAACGCGTGGCGCTCCCACACCACGAGCCAACGGACGCCCTGGGGGGCTCAGGGTTGGGCTCCTCGTGGGAGGCTTCTCGTGGCCGGGCTCCTACCGTAGGCTTCCCGCGACCCAGATCCGAGAAACGGCGGCCCCCCCCCCCCTCCTGAGTCCAAACCTTCAGCACCTCGGCTGCTTGCCACTCTATCTCTTCTCTCTCTCTCTCTCTCTCTCTCTCTCTCCCGCGAAGGAGGTGCGAAGAGGGGCGCCCGCGCCCTCTCCTCGGCCGCCGAGGACGGCGCTCGCTGCGGCTGCTCCGCGATCTGCGGGAGGCAGGGCTCGGCGGCGAGCCGGGGGGGGGGGAGGCGAGAAGGGGCGGGCCTCCCCAGAGGGCTCGGGCGCCCCCGGGACTCCTGGGAAGTTGCCCGAGCCTTCCCTGGAGACACGGAGGGGCTTCCGAGAAGCCCCGCCGTCCTCTGAGAAGGCGTTTCCTTATCGCTTCCCCCCTTCGCTCGCCGCCGAAGAGAAGCCCGAGGCCAGAGGCGATCAGGGACCAGTGCCTGCGAGGAGGGCGGGCAGTGACAGCAAGCCTTGCTACTGCTCGACGGGCTGCTGGAGACCGAGATGGAGCCGAGTACAGTCGGCCACAATGCTGCTCGAACTTGGATCGGCGATATAACGCCGACAGATCGGCGAAAGGCCCCGATTTCAAATCCGCAGGGAGCTGGGCGGGGTGGGCTATCGGGCCAATGTCGGCGATCAGTGGGCGATTGGGGGTCGATGCGTTCCACCGATGTAAAGCATCCCCTGGCGGTTGTCGGGCCAAAACTCTGTCATCTGGCGGCCGTTCGGGCTGACTCGGGCACCCCGGGAACGCTCTCGGCGAGGCGCAGCCGCTGAAGGCACCCCGAGGCTGGAAAGCCGCCGAGAACCGACGAAAACGCCCGAAAACCTCGGCGGACCTCGAACACCCGAGCCTATCCCCCCTGGCGTTGCCCCTGAAGTGCCTGCGAGAAGTGGGTAGCAACGAAGCTCGGCCAGGAACAAAACTCAGCCAGGCCCAACCGAGTCAGGCTGCGCTCGGCCAGGCTGAGCTCGGCCAGGCTGACTTAGGCCCGGGCCGAGTTTGGCCCGGGCCGAGTTCAGCCTGGCCGAGCGCAGCCTGGCCGAGTCTTTCCCCTGCCCAGTAGGGCAGGCAGTGGCAGTGAGCGCGCCTCCGCCTCCTTTCGGGGAGACCTGAGACTCGGGTTCGGGGGACTCGGGTTGGCCTGGCGGGACCGTCGTGAAAATGACGAGACCCGTACTGAAATTTGACGCGAGCTCCCGCTGCAGACATCCCACGAAAACTGGACCGTCAAAACCGGGGACGCGCTCGCCAACAGGCGCTGGCAAACCCGAGTTCCGGTGTACTCGAGACCTACGTTTCCCCGATCCTACTTCCCTCCTAGACCCCCGACGTCCTGACTTTTTCATAACGTCGACCCTCAGGGCTCAGGGCTCTCGCCCCATTCCCCTGGACCGGTTTTTCGTCCCGAGCCGTTTTATGGCGGTCCCGAGGGCCAGGGAGGGCTCCCAGCGGCTGAAAACGTGGAACAAAAACCTCCCGTCGTGTTTTTTTTCATGGCCCGCGTTGGTCTGGGCTTGTCGACTAGGGCAGGCAGTGGCAGCGAGCGCGCCTCCGCCTCCTTCTTCGCGGCGCCCGCGGCTTCCCCGGCGGCCGCGGTCTCCCCCGCGGCCGCAGGCTCCCCGGCGGCCGCGGCGCCGGTGGCCGCCGTGCTCGTGCCGGCGCCGTCCGCGGGCTCCGCGGGCTGCGCGGGCTGCGCCTCTGGGCCTTCGGCGGCCCCAGGCGCCGCTTTCGGGGCCTCGGCGGTGGGGGTTCCTGCTCCTCCTCCTCCCCCTCGTCCTCCTCCTCCTTCCTCCTCCTCCTCCTCCTCCTCCTCCTCCTCCTCGTACTCCTCTTCGTCCTCTTCGTCCTCTTCGTCCTCCTCCTCCTGCTCCTCCTGCTCCTCCTCCTCCTCCTCCTCCCTCCTCCTCCTCCTGCTCCTCCTTCCTCCTCCTGCTCCTCCTTCCTCCTGCTCCTGCTCCTGCTCCTCCTCCTCCTCTCTCGGCTCGGCCGTTCCATCTGTTCTCCCTGCGGAGGAGAATCTCCTTGCCGCGTCGCCCGTTGCGCCAAGCTCCGCCCCCGACCCTTCGGGCGCTGGTTCCGTCGCTGCCCCTCTGAAGCGCCCTGCCTCTCGAGAGCACTCCAGCTGTGGGAGGAGGACCAGGCGCTGATCGCCCCATTTTGCTCTTTCGTTCTCGGCCTCCGCGGTCCTTGCTTCCTTCCCGCCGCGCTGGCGACCTTCGTCCCTCCATGCGTCTCTGCTGTCTGGCGGGAAGCCCGCTTGTGCGGTCGACTCTCTCCTCCCTGCCTACCACGCCCAGTTGGCCCAGTTGGCTACGTGCCTCCCCGCTGGCTGCCCGGTACGCCCGGGGGTGAAATGTCCAGCGCCAAGCAGCGCTTTCCCTCCCCGCCATCCCTGTCCGTACGGTTATGTGCCTCCACCTGCTTTGGTGGTTGGCGCGGCGATCCAAAGCGATCCCGCTCGAAGGCTCGGCCGTGCGCTCCTGTTTGCTGCTTTCGGCTTACTCCGCGTCGTCGCCGCGCACGAGACCGCGACCACCAACAAAGTGCCGGTGTGTGGCTGCCCTCCCCCATCTGCACTCGCTCGGTGGCAATCAGCTTGGGGCGCATTCTGCCACCGCCCTCCTTGAGCTGGACCAGCCAGCCGCGAAGAAAAACTGTGTGTGTATGTGTGTGTGTGTGTGTGTGTGTGTGTGTTCTCCACCCTGTCGCTGCGTGCGGGGCCGCGACGCCATATATATATATATATATATATATATGTATATACACACACACACATATATATATATATACATACAGATATGTGTATATATGGTCCAGGGCTTGGACCCCCCCCCCAATGCTGATGCCATTGGGCCCCCCCCCCGCGAAGGTCCCCCCCGCCCCCCCCCTGCGGGCGTGGCGTGGTGCTGCGC